AACAACCACAGTATGGAAGAACGGGCACAAGTTCACCATAATAAATGCGTACTCACCCCCCAAGCTTACAAGCGACCTAGACGACCTTGGCGGCAGTAACTTCAAGAAGCTAGTCCTGGCGGGTGACCTAGATGGGCAGGCCCCTGAATGGGGTTACAAAACACAAAACACGACAGGCAAAGCTATCAAAAACCTACTGGTATCAACCAACTTGATCATGCTGCAAAATGCAAATTCGCCACCCACTTTCCTCCACTCGGGAAATGGGGTAGAGTCCCGACCGGACATCACCATGATATCCAACGACCTAGAAAATAAGTGCACTTGGACCGTAATGGACGATGTCGGGAGCGATCATAAACCCATCAAACTAACCATAAACTTAGAAAGTAATAAAGTGACAAAGGAAAAGAAATGGCACTGGCTATATCGGAAAGCAAACTGGCATGCCTTCCAGAAGATAGCAGACAATAATATCAAGAAAATAAAGAGACAAGGAAGCATAAACATGAAGTACGACAAATGGAGGGCAGTAGTCCTAAGTGCAGCAGGCAGGTCTATCCCCACCGACATAAAAAGGGAACGCCAACACCCCAACTGGAACCACGAACTCATAAGTCTAATCAGAAAAAGACGAACTGCTCGGGCTAGAGCATATCAAAGTCCCCAGATGAGAGCTAAATACAACGATCTCACATCAGAAGTGAGAAAACTCACAAAAAGTCTAAAGAAGAGAAGATGGCATGAAACGTTAAGGTCTCTTGACCTAAAGAAAAGCCCAAGCAAGGCATGGCGACTACTCAAAAATCTGACCAAAGAAGGTCAAAACACCAACCCTAGCCCACTAGAAAAGGCACGTAAATGTGGCAAAGCAAAACAAGTCATAAGTGATTTGGAAAAAGCAGAAATGCTAAACGAACACTTTGTCTCAGTTAATAAAGCAAAAAGATGGTCCAAAGAGGGCAGAGAAATAGATAATGAGAGAAAAAGTGGAGAAGTTGACATCGGCGAAACAGAAGTGGTCATCATGTCCCAGGGTTTCACACTGGGAGAGTTGGATGCGGCAATAGAAAAATGCCAAATTGGTACAGCGCCGGGGCCAGATGGAATATCCCCGGATATGTTAAAGAATCTAAACCCCAAGGCGAAAATCAGCCTATTGAACCTCATCAACCAGACGTGGGAAGAAGGGTCAATCCCTGACGAATGGAGAAGGGCGGCAATTATCCCAATCCAAAAGAAAGGCAAACCACCAAGTAAGGCAGATAGCTACAGGCCCATCTCCTTAACGTCATGCGTCTGCAAATTGGCCGAAAGAATGGTGGGAACCAGGCTCTACTGGTTCTTAGAAAAAAATATGCTGCTGGACGTAAACCAAGGGGGTTTCAGAAAGAAAAGACAAGCAATGGATCAAGTGATCCGCTTTACTCAATCTGCAATAAATGGTTTCCATGAAAGAAAAAGTACGCTTGCTGTCTTTTTAGATCTGAAGCAAGCGTATGATAGAGTCTGGAAAAGTGGCCTACTCGTCAAATTACAGAGCTTAGGAGTCAGTGGAAAAATGTATATGTGGCTGAAGGATTTTCTAAAAAACAGAGTAGCCAAGACCAGAGTGAATAGTTCAGAATCACAATACAAGCCCCTGGAAGAGGGACTCCCACAGGGATCGGCACTAAGTTGCATACTCTTCCTAATTTACATTAATAACTTACCAAAATTAGTCAACTCAGAAAAAGCGCTCTTCGCTGATGACATAGTCATTTGGCAAACCGGCAAAGATGCAGCAGAAATGGAACAGGCACTGCAAAATGACCTAGACAGAATAGCAAAGTTTGCAAACAAATGGAAAATCGAGGTCAATGTCCAAAAAAACAACGTTCACGTTGTTCACCCTATGCAGGAAAATAAAGAAAGTCCCAATAAGCCTAAACTTCAGTGGCAAGCCACTAACCCAAGAAACAAAAGCACGCTACCTGGGCGTAACCCTAGACAGGAAGCTAAACTTTAGCACTTATATAAATGAAATAACCCAAAAGGCCACGCAAAGCCTTGCAATTGTAAAGAAACTGGCCAATACAGAATGGGGTGCCAATGCAGAAACACTACGTGCCCTATACATTGGAGCAGTACGCTCGAAGCTAGAGTACAGTAACATAATCCAGAGTCTCTCCAGTATAACGAGTCAGGCAAAAATTGACCATATCCACAACCAGGCAACAAGGCTGGTGTGTGGTACCATGAAAAGTTCCCCGATAGCAGCGGGAGAAATCATGGGAAATTTAGAACCGCCCCAATACCGAAGGGAAAAAAAACCCTACTGAAAACGTGGGAGCGATTCTGCAGATTTGAAGAAGGAGATCCGCTCCAAGAATTAACAAAGGGGAAATGCCACATGAGGATCCAAAAACCCTCTTGCGTCAGCCTTTGCCAAAAACACAGGAAAAAGGTGTTTCTCCCACAAGAAAGGGAAAAACTTCGAATAACAACGAAAAGAAGCCCAGGTTGCGACCCGGTGATAAATGTCACTATAAAAGATGGCAGCTTTACACCTCTCAAAAAGTCCGAAAAACAAAAGACAATACAGGTATATGTTGATGGCAGCGTAGCGAAAAATAGCAACGCTGGCTATGGCATAAGAATACGAATCCTTGAAGAGACAGAACCAAGGGACTTTGCTGGTACCATCGGCTGGTACAAAAGTCCCACTGAAGCGGAAGTAGAGGCCAGCAGAGTTGGACTAAAAACCGTCAAAAACCTGTTTAAAGACAAAGAAGTAGAGCCAAAGAACATAATACTCTACACTGACAGTCAGCATATGCTGAAAACGATCAAAGAAAACGATCAAAGAAAACGAGCCAAACAAAAATGTGGAAAGAATGATTAGAATCATCAGAAAAATAAAGAGGAGATACGGAAAAGAAGTCCACTTCAAGTGGATAAAGTCCCACACGGGAATAAAGGACCACGATAGCGCGGACCAATGCGCTAAGTTTGGAGCGACAATCCCAAACCCCACAAGACCTCTAACACTCGAGGCAGGGTGTCGAGAAATTAACATAAAATACAAAGAAAAATGGCTGAATGACTGGAAAGAGAACCCGAAGGGAAGGGAAGTGTGGTCTCACCTTAGAGAACCGTGTAAAAAAGATGCATGGTGGCAATTAGACAGGAAGAGACAAAGTATCATAGCCCGTGTCAGAACCGGACACATACAAGATCTTACCTTAAAGAAATTGGTAAATCTGAAGTTGATGCCTGCAGACATTGCAACAAAGAAAGAGAAACCTTAGAACACCTAGCAAAGTGTGTTAACCTAAAGGAGGAAAGACAGAAACTCCTAGGGCAAGACAAATTACCCAGTGCATATGGATGCCTGGCTGAAATAACGAAAATGGCCAACTACTTCCTCTCAGCCATAAAGGAATAATCTGAAACTTTGGACATTTCCTACTGCCAAAGAAAGCCAGCTTTATTGTTTGTGATAGATGGCATTGCTTTCTGACCAACTCATAATTATTTAAGACAAAATGTATTAACTGGATACATTAAAGTATATCACATTTTATTATACCATCATTACAGATACCTCTGGGATCAAGTGCTACAATAACCAAAATCAATATGATTGTATGGGCAAGTTAAAATATTTTCAAAATAAAGTAGATTTAAAAACAAAATATATATACATTAAGGACCAATTATTGTTTATCTTTGGTTCACTATTCAACACTTGTTCTTACTGGGGATACCTACGGTACTTACTACTTACCTGTGTCACATTAATGAATTAATAGGATTTTCACAAGGGCTGTCCATTGATTCAATTTGAAGCCTAGTTTGTTAGGCATTGTTCATTAAGACAGAAAACAAAGGCCACAATTAAGACAATCTTATGCATGCAATGACAACTATTTCATGTCATAGCTTAAGTCCATGTAGATAATCTGTCCAGCCCATCCGTCTCATCAGAGCATTAGCATTTAGTGGGGCATACAAGCTATTTTATTGCATTAGCCTAAAAACTTTACAAGCCATTTATTGTGTTATCATCATGTTCATTTTCTCTTCATAAATTTTAAAATTTACTTTAATAAATTCTGAGCCAGGAAATATAAAAAATGGTGCCATCCCAATCAGCCAGTATATGGCCCAACAATGGTTGGTGCCATCCCAATCAGCCAGTATATGGCCCAACAATGGTTGGTGCCATCCCAATCAGCCAGTATATGGCCCAACAATGGTTGGTGCCATCCCAATCAGCCTGTATATGGCCCAACAATGGTTGGTGCCATCCCAATCAGCCATTATATGGCCCAACTATGGTTGGTGCCATCCCAATCAGCCAGTATATGGCCCAACAATGGTTGGTGCCATACTAATCAGCCAGTATATGGCCCCAACAATGGTTGGTGCCATCCCAATCAGCCAGTATATGGCCCAATAGTAAATGATTTGGTTTGGGCACCTGTTCAGAATGCCTGTCAAAAACCTGAGTTGCCAACTTACAAAAGCAGGCGCTCCTGTTTCAAGACCAAAGAATGCCCACAGCGTCTGTGGATCAACCGTGTTGAGAACACCCTGAAAGTAAGCAACAAGAACCTAATCAACTCATCAGCATCTGTACCTCCCCGTCATGACTCCCAGATAAGAGCCGATGGATGAAGATAAATTGGGGTGCTGTAATGAGTGCATTAATGTGTCAACCATTAATATGAAAACTTATCAAACAACAAAGATTTAGAGTTCCTACATGTTTAGCAAGATTCATTCCACATCTCTTATTTTATTATAGCCAAAATATTAGATTTGTCAAGAACTCTGCTTTTTAAACTTGAAATGAAAACAAAATTAATAAGTGGAATAATCAAATTTTTGTGTGTGGACTTTTCAACCTCAATTTTAACATGCTTGAGGATCTATTAAAAAACTTCACTATAAGAGCTAAGAGGTGCATTGGTTTCTTCTTGTGGCTGGTCATCTTCTGCCGGGTTCATCTCCACTTCACTTTCATCATCAGCATCATCTTCCTCATCATCATCGTTATCATCTTCCTCATCTACAGCAGCTGCCGTCTGATTTTCATTGTCCTCACCTTCATCTTCGCTGTTGGATGTTGTGTTAGACATGGAAGCTTGGGACAAAATTACTTCACCCTGAAAATCAAAGAGAAAATTCAAAAATAAAATTTGTCCCACAAGCAACTGATAACTTCTAAGCTTATTAGCGCACCTAAATTATCAGAATGGCCCCAAGTTTGCAACTGCTGCTAGGTGTTTGGGCAGTTTTCAAGTCTTTTTTTTGTTGGCTCATAAGTAATGTTAGTGTTTCCCCGGCTCATGGAGCACTGGTTATGATAACCAGCCTATCGACTATTCGTAATGCTGCTTGGCCTTTGTCCAAGAGGTAACAGGTTCAATTTATTCATTATCAAAGTTGGTCAGCTATTTTTGGGGAGCAGATAACCTTCAATAAACAACACTCCTTCCAGAAGTCAGCAGTCAGCTGTCAAAAGTCAGCAGTCAGAAGTCAGCAGTCTCATTGGGTGTGCAACTGAAAAGTTGATGTCAACAAAAAATCGCTCTTGTCTTACTAAGTTACAGCTGCTGGATAAAAATCCAAAAGTATAATATTTATATTAATAATTTATAAGCATTTTACGCCGTGAAAGATATTAATCATTCAGAAATTAATTTCTTAACAATTTTTAAATTTTACCAAATAAATCAAAAATGATTTTGTATTTTCACAAAATTTATAAATTCTAATGTTTTTGAAAGTCTTAAAAGGAAGAATGTTTTTCTACTCTATAACGATTGTCCTTAATACAGCCTATTTGACTTAAGTAGAATTTGTGGAAACAAATTCTTTAGAAATAGAATTTCAATGTTGGGTTACCATAAAATATTACAAGGGCTTAAAGAATGATCTCCTACCCTCAGATTTCTGTTCTTCAGATTTCCAACCCAGAATGCATCCTGGCAGTTGTTGAGTGTTAACATCGCCTTCACCCTGAAGACAAGTCCTTCCAGGGCTTTTCTTAACATTGGCACCTGATTGGTTAAGGCAATGTCCTTGTTAATCTGTTCAAATAAAAGTTTGCATGAATATTCCAGATAGAAAATGTTGGCTGGAAACAAGGCCCAGTGCGTTCGTACACAATGCCCAGTGTGTTATTAATGGAATCAATCGCAAGCTTTCTAGTGCTGAGAAGATCAATACTAATAAGAGGAAATAGATTAACAGCTACCTATCTTTATGTACTAAATTTTGGCAAATCTTCTGTTAGTTTCTTTAAAATTCCCCTCTTCTTTTAAAGGTTGCATTGCAGTTGTATTTAGTCTACTACCAATTTCAGTATTAAGCTGAGGTAATCTCAGTAATAATGTATCAATAGAAATAACTTTCAAGAGAAAATTATTGAAGTTCGTACGCATTGACAAATTGAAATTCATACGGTCAGGTAACATAATTTGATTAGCTATGTTGGTGACATTCTTTCTCATTTCCGAATAGCGTTTGATAAAACTCACCTTTGAATGACCGCAGAGATGCTGAAGCATTCTCGTGCTCTGCTGAAGTGAACGTAACAGTTTCTCTACATCTGTGTGATGGCGGCGAAACGTCACGTCCAACAGGGGCATCGCTTGTCTGAGAAAGATCTCCAAAAACTGGCGGCCATATTTGAGTGCCGCTCCAAGGTTGCCTCGGGCGTTGAACACCTTTGTGAGGGACGTGGCGACCTGTAGGACTTTGACGGTCAATGTCCACATCATCAGCCTATCTTCTCTAACGTTTTCTGGGTCATTTTTCTTGCCTGCTGGGATTCTCTTTATGTTTGATATCAGCTCAGTAAGCAACACTTTATAAAAGATGGTGAATGTCTGCCTATGTAACAACAATTGAAAATACTTATTACATAAAATACAATGGGTATTTTGTTGGATGGAGACAAAAAATGACAAATATTTTAGAATGGGCCTGGATTCACAATTCTGTATTTACATGGAACATTATATTTAAGTCTTTGAGTTGATGCAAGTAATACTTGCTCTAATCAATTAATTTAATAATTGTGCTAATCCATAAACTTACCCATGGATACAATATAGCAAATGGATCAACTTACCTATTGAGAGAGACAAAGTCTTCAGAGCATCCATTTTTGTCAAGGTTGACTAGCTCAGCCAGGCCATTTGTCACGTCCTCCAAGGCTTGCAAAGGTTCAGGGTCATACTCCAGATAAGCTTTGATCATCACCTGCAAGTCTTCATTGTGCTTGGCACCTTTCATTCGCTCCCCATCTGGCTTTCGCCAGTCACGACCCAGAAAGGATTTAGCATGGCTGGCTGTTATAATCAAATAATAGTATGTGTTATATACGTAAACAATAAAGCAGCTATTTAAATGGAATTAAAAATACTGCAAGGTAGCTTTTCAGGGTCGCACCTGTTGTTTGATGCAATCACTCACCAATAGTGTTAATTCCAAGCAATAAAAGAGTGTCCAACACAAATAACTTCAAATTATTCATTAATGTATTTAAAGAAAAAAAATTCCTTTGAACAAAATTAAAAAAAAAAAAAAAAAAAAAAAAAAAAAATGCAATCACTCACCAATAGTGTTAATTCCAAGAAATAAAAGAGTGTCCAACACAAATAACTTCAAATTATTCATTAATGTATTTAAAGAAAAAAAATTCCTTTGAACAAAATTAAAAAAAAAAAAAAAAAGGAGTTGAAAAACCTACCCAATTTAGCATTTAGATCATCACTCTGACATCTGTCTGCAAGGACCATGAGAAGTTTAATTAGTGTAGCAGCTGTCTCAGTGTCTGGACTCGTTTCTACCAAGTTACCAAAGTACTTGAAGGCCATTCTTATCAAAGAAATGTAATCATCAATTTCATAAAATATTCTATTATAATGCACAAAAATGGTTTCACTGAGTGAGATGTGTCTGTTGGTCTATGCTGTGTCAAATGTTTCTAACATAATCAGAAATGATGCAAGAGGGAAAAACTTCCCCTATATTGGATTGTTAAAAGCTACGGTATTGAATTATGCCAAATGCATAGAATTTGTGAATTCCTGAAATGTATTTGGCTATTTTGGAACATATCTATGTATATTTTTAAAAATTGATTGGTAATGATTGGGCATTATTGATGGAAATATAGTTGGGCATTATTGATGGAAATATAGTTGGGTATGAGGGATGGGGAGATGGTTGGGTATGAGGGATGGGGAGATGGTTGGGTATGAGGGATGGAAAGATAGTTGGGTATGAGGGATGGGGAGATGGTTGGGTATGAGGGATGGGGAGATAGTTGGGTATAAAGGATGGGGAGATGGTTGGGTATGAGGGATGGTGAGATGATTGGGTATGAGGGATGGGGAGATAGTTTGCTATGAAGGATGGTGAGATGGTTGGGCACGAGGGATGGGGAGATAGTTGGGCATGAGAGAATGGCCAAATATTGAGGAGAAAATCAAGGATAGTTATGGCTGATTTAGTTTTCAATAATTCTATAAAAAAAAAAAATTAAACACAAGTGTAGGGCATCTAATTATAAAGTGGTTAAAAGTACTGGAAATATTAAAAAACCTTGCATTAAATATGATTAAATAATACAAGGTAGAGAAAGGAACAAAACAGGGGAATACTGCCCCAATCTAAAAGATATTAACTTATTCTCTTAACCCTATCCAACTCAACATATTGTATACCATGTCCCCGGAAACTGGTTGGGTTACACCCATAGTTTTCTTTCACAGTAAATGGTTCTCTTCAAAGGCGGGGGACAGATGTCCATGGGCGCCAGACTAATTAAGGGCTCCAAAATGTGCTTTGATATTATTTAATTGATGAAAAAAATGGGTTTGAGAGTTGAAAAAAGAAAGGGAGGCTCTTTAAAATGAATCTTGTCTCCGGGCGCCAACCACTCTAGCCACGCCTCTGGTTCTCTTTATGTTATTTTCTTTATTACTATGTGCCATGATTTAGTTGCCTTCATTGCCTTCAAACCAAACTCCATTCACGGATCACATAGTTTCTCCCACTGAAGCATGTCTTCTGTACATTCATGAAAAAAATAATACAAACAATAGTTGACTGCACGAGCAGGGAAGGTGATAAAGTAAGATCAGACTAATGGCACAGGAATGATCTAAATGAAAGCTTTTATTAGCTGCCTACTACTACTACACACTGGCAATCTTCATCTCAACAGCATTTCAGTGGACTTTTTATTCAGCCATGTTGATGGAAATAACATTTTTAGGGAACATGTTCAATGACAAGATTCAGCAAACTTCAGATTCATACTTTGTTTTGACAACAATGACACTAGATCAATCCTGTATGATAGCTCGTGACATGTTTGATCTAATAATAAGAGATGTATGAGAAGCATTCATGAGTAATTTGGCCAGTTATTATGTTCTTGGAGAGCACATCACAGTAGGTGAGCAACTGCTTGGTTTCAGAGGTCGGTGCAGATTTATTCAATATATGCCAAGCAAGCACGACAAATATGGGATATATATTTTCTGGGCCTGTGACTGTTAATCGACTTCAAACTATCCTCTGAGAGGATGCCCATATCTCGGAAAAGAAAATGCAAGTACCCTGCCAGCAAAGAGAAATGGTGGAACATCCCCCAGAGGCTATGATTTCTCGCACAAGGGACTTGCATGGAAGTGGACGCAATTTCAGAACAGACTATTATTTCATTCCCCTGCTACTTGCAGAACCAATGGCCAAGAACAGACTCACTCAAGTTGGAACAGTGAAACGGAACAAGATGTTCCTACCCAAGGGATTCTAGCAAAAGAAGGCTCTGCCCCTCAACAAATCAGTGTTTTTTTTCAGACTAGAAACAACTTCGTCAAATACCAGAGCTTGAAGCAGAAAGATTGCTCCTGAACACAATCGTCCACATATAGAAAGTGAAACTGACTTCAAGAAACCAGGGATTGTGAACAATAACAACAAAATCAAAGGAGGCATATTCGCCAGGGACCAAATGGTGAAGGTGTTCTCTGTGAATACAAAAAACTTAAAGTAAAAGATGGCCTTTGGTTGTGTTTTTCAACATTTTTGACTTGGCATCAAGAGTGGCATTTAAATATACATATCCGACTAATTCACTGTCTCATGAAGACAACAGACAGTCAATATTGACGTTGCACATTTCTTCACCCTTTCCCAAGGAGAGGCAATCCATCCCAACACACCAAGATATTGTGAGGCAGAACTTCGCCAGTGTTTTGAAATCTCGACAAGCACTTCAAACAGCTGCCCAAAACCACTTCAACTCAGCAAGTTTATTGGACTTATTTGACATAGACCGTTCTGTTTTTGAATGTAAAATCTGTGCAAGTTGAGCCCCTATTTTCCCATGTGTACAAGTGACTGCTTGGAAATGGTTTGTCAAGTTGAATACATGTTATTATTGTTGGTACCCAAATGCATTCAGATTATTTAGTTATTGTCAAAATTTAAAATCTATTTCATGGATGACACAGACTCAAATAACCAAACAAATAACAACCAAACCAAAATGTTCATATGCCAGTTTAGACGGTTTTTTTCTTCTATTAAATTATGCACAAGTAGGTTACACCCAGTTGTTACGGACTCTAGAAAAAAAGTTTAGGGCCCAAAAAAATAAGTCACTTTTGCATGCTTTATACAATTGCATCCAACAAGGTGTTCATTTCTACTACCTTGTGGATTAGGTAGAGTATGAGAAAGATTATTAAAAGGAGACTCGAGATATCAGCAATCAAAGACTGTTGAGTGTATTATACTCAGTTGAGGTAGATGGGGTTAAATGTGTACAAATATCTAAACATTTCAAGTACAGATAATTAAGGAAGAATAAGTGGATCATATTTTTACATTAGTGAATCTTGCAGTGACACAAAAGAACTCAGATCTGAAGATCCACTCATTCTCTTTCCCATCACCATCAACATTTCCTTCAAAAGATCTTTGTTTTCTTCACTATTAAAGCCATTCCATGAGAAAAGTGACAGCACACATTGCAACAAAACATTATAGCAGCTGGCCATTTTGGTTGCCTCCTCTGTGCCTCTGTTGGGACCATCAACCATGCCATCGTTATCAGAGATGAGGGTTTGAAAGAAATTGCAGGCTCTCTCCAAGTGGTCACACAGACAAGGCAGCAATTTGGAAGCCTCTGTGGCTATGTGTGAAGGTGAAAAGTGGTCTAGCATCGAGTAGCCGACATTTTTTGAGGTCCGCACTTTAAAAAATGTCCTACGCTTTGAAGCCGAGGCAATGAGAGAGTGCTTCAGCTTGAGTGCTAAGTCTTCCAGCAAAAAGTGCAGCTCAGCCAGACCTATTTGTAGCTCTTCTGTTGCTCTTGTGTGCATCTCTGAATCTAAAGCTGCTCTGGTGATGATGCCAGCATTGAGAATGTTGAACACTTTGAAATCAAGCTCACGAAAGTACTGCCTGAAATTGGATAAGTCTACAGTTTTTTGGTGGTCGGTCTGAGAGGCAACTTGTGAAGTTGTTGATTGGCGTGTCAGTATGGTGTCATCAATATCCACATCATCTATTGGGTCAATGCTCTTTTTACCCTTCTTTTTCTTGGGGGCTTTTTTCACCTTCTTATCACCGCCTGATGTGGAAGGGCCCGGTAACGGCGTTGTGACAGGCTGGCAATCCACATCGAATATTGCAGTTGGGGGTTGAAAGTCCGGATGTAAGGCCAAGCACTTTTGTAAAATATGATTCAATTCTGTGATCTGTGTTAATCTCATCATCACCTGGAGTTGAAGGAAACAACAGTTTTTAAAAAAAAAGAAAATAGTGCTACTATATTTATAAATATTGAGTTTAACAAAAGGCTACTTTAGATTTCTTTATAACCCTGTGCCCCCTCCCCAGAAGGGTTTTCATAAATTAAAAATGCAGGGATCCCCTTTTGCATATTCCTGAATGTAGTTCTACCACCTACCTAGATGTGCTTATATGAATCCTTTTATTTTATTAGTTACTAAATTTTAAAGTTGTTTTTTCATTTTTAATTAAGATGACTTATTTCAACCATTTTTTAATTGTAATCAGTCCAAATAAGGGACAGGTACAACCCAATGGGGCGTACAGTAAAAAAAATGCTGTAAACATAATTAATATTTCAAATGTGCATTTATGTCGAGAATAAAAATAATCGCTAACTGAATGAAGAAGTAAGTTTATTAGTGATACATCTAGCGGGCCACGATATTTAATATGGCAGATTATCCACCCCTGCAATAAGCATAGGAGACTGATTTTATGTCCATTAACATATTATAGTCTGATAACCACAGCAAGCTGCAATGGGAGAAGGGAAGAGGAGTGCTGGAAACAAACTGGGGTATTAAAATTGTACAGCAGCACAGTGACTTCTAAAAATAGATTTCAAATCGTATAAAATATGTCAAATCTAAAACTGATGTGTGGAGCTGCTGAGAATGCATTAATAAAAATGAAAGAATCTGCAGTTTTCTCTATTTTTGAAATCACAGTTAATCACAGAAAAAAAATAATTATATCACAAACTTTCGTCATATGGCATCAAAGCAAACAAAAAGAAATGTTGACTAATTACACCTTTGTTCAGGAGCATAAATTAAAGTACGAAAGCAGCACTGTCGCCAAGAATGAGTTAATAAATTAATAAACAAGTAATTTCTACACATTTACTTTTGCTTTCATTTCAGCATTAGACATGGCTGCAAACCCATTGGCAACCTCCCTGAACCAGTTGATACACAGGAAAAGACCAGCACAGACAATGTCTTTCTTCTTTGTTGGCAGTGACTTCATCTGTTCATAAATCTCAGGCTTTACCATCAACACTGGGCAGCCCAGGAGTGCATCAATATTCTCTAGATCTCCATCTGACTTTCTCATTTCACAGACTGCCACCAGGTGGAACAGTGGAGCTAAGCACAGGGGGCTGGTTGCTGAACTGTTAAGAAAAACAGCATATATAAACATTTACAAACAAAATGTCATTAGTTTAGCCATGTTATAATATATGAGCATACTCAACATTTGTAAACATGGTATGAAACATAGTGGATAACTCATTAGTTACAGCTGCCTTAAAGATGGTTTCTAATACTTCAGTTGGTTTTTAATATTTGACTGCAATAAATTATTATGACTTATAAGCAATGTGTCAAAGTAGTCTTAGGTTGAGATAACTCTTAACTCCATTTAGGTTGAGATAACTCTTAACTGAAAATTAAGCCATGAAATGAGAGATAAAAACACAAAATTAATGTACACACTCCATTGGCTGACGTGGTGTTTTATCCATCAGCTTTTCCACCAAAGGTATTAGGTTTATCACAATGGTACTCTCTGTCACATTATTCAGGCTATACAAGACATCTATTGGCAATAAGCTGTTTTTGATCAGGTCCGCATCCTCTTCCACATCAGCAACATAATTCTCTTCAAACACTGCAGGTAACACATTAGAAACATTCATTATAGAACTATACAGAAATTAAGACAAATAACCTTTCATGAATTTTTTACAGTAGCCAGAATGTTAGTCTTTGTATGATGTATTTTAGTTGTTCTATTGGAAAATAGCCAAAAATAAAACCAATTTTTTAAATAAACATTTCATTGGGATGTTTCTGTCCTTCCTCATGGTCATTTGGCCCTCTCTTTGGTCTGTTGTTTATGGCCATCAATTTTAGCCATATTGTTAGCAACCCAACAACTAACCTTGTGTCACACTGTGAGCAACCCACCAACTAACCTTGCGTCACGCTGTCAGCAACCCACCAACTAACCTTGTGTCACACTGTCAGCAACCCATCAACTAACCTTGTGTCATATTGTCAGCAACCCATAAACTAACCTTGTGTCACACTGTCAGCAACCCATCAACTAACCTTGTGTCATATTGTCAGCAACCCATCAACTAACCTTGTGTCACACTGTCAGCAACCCATCAACTAACCTTGTGTCATACTGTCAGCAACCCATCAACTAACCTTGTGTCATATTATCAGCAACCCATGTCTCCACATTGCCATAGAGCTTTTCTGTACCAATCATTTCAGCGAGACTGTCTAAAAATAAGGCTGAAATTTCAGGATCTCGCTTGCAGTTATTTTGAATAAGCTCAAGCAACTTGACCACCTGAAGGAAAAAACAATATCTTCAAAACTGTTTTTCTCATGTCCAAATTAATGCTATCTAATGATAGTTTTGTCACCAGTTCTTTGATAATTGCATAAATGTAGTCCTATAAGCATGATCCAACTCTTGGCACAGCATAAACATTATCTCTACCTCTCATTATGCCAATGGAATGGATGATAATTTTGTGAATATAATGATAACAACAAAAGTTGCAATCATAAACAAATGATATTTCCTCCATTAGATGTTTAACACAGCAGATAACTAACCTGCTTATACTGGTCACTTGGTAAATCAGTACTTGTTCCATTGCTTGCAGCTAGTGCATGCACTATAGACAGGGCTCCCACTACACCCATACGCTTGTATCTGAAACATACAAATGATGGCATTTATTAAAAATGTTTTTAAAATGACAGTTACAATTACAAGCAACTATAAAATGTTGATAAAAATACACTTACTTTGGATTGCCACTCGTCAGCTGCTTACAAATTATTATGTGAAGGTCATCCTAGTGCAAAATAAAAATTGTAGATTGAGTTGGACAGTGGTTATTTTGAAATAAAGTCAGTGCATTGTAAAGAGTTTTAGAAGGAATTTGATTTGATGTAGATCATAAATTTGAAAACAGAAACATTCATTTAGCATATTTAAGATATTTTTAACATGATCAATAAATTAACAGAAAATCTCTAACTAAATTTTCACACTAATAACAATTAAACATATTTATTTAGCATTACTAAAATAAATCTGTTAAAAAATCTAAGCATTGAATTAAACATCTCAAATTGTTGTCAGTAGAATGACTCACTTGTAAATAGCTGACCTCTTGAGAGGAATGAAACGCAAGCTTGGCCAACAGTAAATAAACCTTTTTAATCTGTGTTACTGTCAAGTTGTTGTGATCCAAACAGTCGAGGACTATCTGAGACAAAGTTATATTTCACAGACTAAGTAATATAATCCTCAGTTTGGTTCCTCTCAAACAAACTATACTATATTTTTCAATTAAAAAAAAAAAATATTTATTCCAGGATAATCCTTAATTTTAATACGTGTAAAAATTTTGGGTTCAACAATATTTTAAAGATGACAAAATCTTTCCATGCCTAATGACTCATATCTATTACATATGAAACAAATTTAATGTATTTCTTTATTTTTCATTATTTCCCAGCTTTGTTAAGAACAAACCTTGACGTGGGCAGCATAACGGGACATTGCCTGCAGTTGGTCTTTGACAAGATCAGCAAAGGTGTCTAAAGATGCTTCTATTTCACCAATAACTCCACTGCCAGTGTGTGTGATCAGGCTTTCAACAATTTCCTAAAAGATTAAAATGATATTACAGTGAAACCTCCAAGTAATGCAACTGGAGCAAAAGTGGTGCTTTTTGCAGCTTCAGCCAGTTTTGAAAAATTGTTTAGTTTTGGGTGAGTTAATGCATATGTCAGGGATGCTATTTCAAGGTTCATTATTTCCAGGCTGAAATATACATTTTAAGGGGTTAATAACCTCTCCTGGTTCTGGTAGATTATCAAATCTCTGGTTTTATTTTATAGTAGGCCACAATAATATTGTGCAGAACTTTCTATTAGTTTGTCTGAAATGTGTCTGGTCTTTTTTACTAGTAGAAATATAATCAGATTTTTAAAGTAAATATTTTTAATGTTTAGCTTTAAAAGACTTATTTCCATAAGGGTATTGTTTTTTTTCTTGAGGTATTAGTTTAGAATACCATGATTGTCATTTCCAAATTATAATGTTTTAGGAAATTATTATTGTTTTAATTGTATTATTAAGTAAAGTTGCAGAGTCTAAAAAAATCTTTCTAGCTTAATTAAAATAATACCTGTTTGCAATAAGAATCAAAGGCTGTAAAAGTCATTTTGTATATAGAACAAGCTATAGAACATATTGAAGGTTCTGGTGAGTGCAGCAGTCCCCTGGCCAAGGACATAAGGGAAGGAAAATACTCTCTAATAATCTGCAAGACAATTCAATAAATACTTTATTTAGAAAACATATCTTCATTAAATAAGAAAAGTGATAGAAAAAAAACCAAGTAACATAATCTCATAAGAAGCTGACCCCATAAGAAGTACCAGAAACATATTAACATGAAATAGCAACCAATGTATCTAATCAGAAGATTATGTTTGAACCGCTGTTACAACAGAGAGTGGAATATGATGTTATAGTTTTGTTATGACATACCGAGGTATATGATGTTATAGTACTGTGAAGATTGGCCTCGGTGATGAGTCCATTTCTAATCTTGTTTCTCATCAGGCTTTCCACAGCTTTCTTGTTGTTCAACCAGTGAAGGATGAGAAGAACAAAGATGTCAATTGGTTTGAAATCTTTTGCTGCATCAAGAGCCTGTGTAGAATAGTTTTAAAAAAATGCCAAGTGCTCAAAAAAATTATATACATATATCTATGATAGTTTTAAATGAATGCTTTACATAAATGCCAATGTTTTGGTCATTATATTTAAATTATATTTTGTATTAGTTCAGCTTATTTCCCCTTGAGGAATCTGACCACACAATGGTTCAAATGACCACACAATGGTTCAACTGACCACACAATGGTTCAACTGACCACACAATGGTTCATTTGACCACACAATGGTTCAACTGACCACACAATGGTTCAACTGACCACACAATGGTTCAACTGACCACACAATGGTTCAACTGACCACACAATGGTTCAACTGACCACACAATGGTTCAACTGACACCTGTTTATAAACCAAGGTTAAAAACTGGTTTTTTAATTGCTGCAAAAAGTAGAAATATCTTGAATTGGTATCTTTATAAGCAGAAAGAGGATGGGATATAATAATAATGTAATAACTTTGAAGACAATTTAAGATATTTTATTTTACCTTTAACCAGGCTTCAGCAACAGCTCTTTTGAATTGCATTCTGCTTTTGAGGGCATCTATAGTCAACTTGATACTTGTCTTAATCCTGTTATCAATAACATCAGTTGATAATTGGTTAATATTATAGCACATGTCACACCCTTTTAAGGCTTACACAACCTAAATTATAAACTATTTATTGATTTAATTTTTAAAAAAGGTAAGGGGGGGGGGGGAAATGCTTGCCAATCTCCAATGAACAATACATTGCACACCCTATGTTAGTTATTGAATAGCAACCATTTCAAAATATGAATAGATTAGAATGGTTTTATGTAAACAATGGTAATTTTTTGCACTGACACATTGCACTAGTTTAGCACGTCAAGATGTTCAAACCCACAAAGATGCAAACCCCCTTCAGTTTTAGCAGTTAATTTCATAAATGTTTCCTTAAGTATTCAAAATGTTTACTCAATGTATCTGCGGTACTCACTTTTCTAACTTCTCCTTGGGTAGTTTTGTTGATGTTGTGAAATCAAGACCAGCTCTAATTTCATTCACTACCTAAAACACAAATTTACAAACTGGCTGACAAAACTGAACAGATTCAGCTGAAAAGAAAGTGAGCCACACTTAAGGAGCCCATTGGCTGGACTGAGTACAGTAGACCTGCTTACCATGAAATCTTAAATTATGGTCTCAAAATTATACAGTGCAGTATCTTAGTAGTGAATAAATAAATGTACAGAGAATATAATGCTTTTAATAACTGCTTGCATCGTGTGTCGAGTTAAGCTGAAGTCAAAATAGGTAACTTCCAAATGTCAATGACTGATGTTTATATTGCAATCTGCAGATGTTTGGTTGCTATAGATACCAATTAATATGTGGGTGAACGTGCAGATCACATTATCACTGTCTGTCAAATATAAAGTTACTGATGAAATTTATTAATTGGACACCAACAATTTGTGTCAATATAACAAAATAAGGTAAGCATTAATAATAATTTTACAGAGTACAAAAGTATACGTTTCGGCACATGCCTTCATCAGTACAAGAAAAAGACAATTAAATAAGTATAAATTAAATTTACATAAATGATGTAAATTTAATTTATACTTACAAGAATTAATTATTCAAAGAGGACATCATTTACTACACCTTTCAAGTAAATTGAAATTGATTTTTAAGGAAACAGAAGGGCTTAAAAATAAATAAATAAAGATACTATAAGCCTATTTCTCTTAAAATAGTAGTTGCGGAAGGTCTTGGGGTACAATTGTAAAGACATCTCAAAATGATACATTGTATGCCAAAATTGTAAGAGTAAACAGGTCTGGTACAGTAGCTAAAGCTCTTTAGAGACAGTGTGTTGGCTGGATTGAGTACAGTAACTAGAGCTCTTTAGAGACAGCGTGTTGGCTGGATTGAGTACAGTAACTAGAGCTCTTTAGAGACAGTGTGTTGGCTGGATTGAGTACAGTAACTAGAGCTCTTTAGAGACAGTGTATTGGCTGGATTGAGTACAGTAACTAAAGCTCTTTAGAGACAGTGTGTTGGCTGGATTGAGTACAGTAACTAGAGCTCTTTAGAGACAGTGTGTTGGCTGGATTGAGTACAGTAACTAGAGCTCTTTAGAGACAGTGTGTTGGCTGGATTGAGTACAGTACTTAAAGCTCTTTAGAGACAGTGTGTTGGCTGGATTGAGTACAGTAACTAGAGCTCTTTAGAGACAGTGTGTTGGCTGGATTGAGTACAGTAACTAGAGTTCTTTTAGAGATGGGGTGAATTTTTTTTTTTACATAGGAATGTCACGTAAAATTATAATAAGAATCTGTAAAACTCACTTCCAGAGCTTCCTGTGCGGTGACCGATTCCAGCAAGAAATTGATGACAATTGGAAGATCATTTATGCTGAATGTTTTCAGCATATCCAGCACTGAAGTGCGAATCTGTAGCATAGAGGTAAGAAATATCACACTTACTTTTTACATTTTTGTTTTAGTTACGGTACTATGAGATAGGAAAAAAATTACAACAATGGAGAAAGTTATGAGTTTTTAATAATACCTTTTTATAATGTGGAAAAATTGCTGTTAACTGATTAGCTAATGCATTTAAAAATGTGTGTGGCTGAATAAAGGTCAATTTCCCACAGGCAGATCTAAGTATAAATTCAGTTGTCATTTATATAATCATTAACACATTTTTTAAAGTAATACCATTTTGTAGAGAAATGAATTTTCTTCAAGATAAATCTAAAAGAAATGTTAAAAAATATTTTTAATTATTTTTTTATCTGAGAAAAGCATTAAAATATTATGAAAATTTACCAACTTACTTTCAAATTTCATGTTTCGAATATGCAAAAACTATTTATTTTTTACACTTCTAATAATTTATGTAATCAGAGCTAAACCAAGTTAGAAAAGGTTTCTGAATTTAGACAATTCTACGGTTGCATAAACATATCTCCAACTTATTTACAGCATGTTTGCTTTTGGTAACCTTGTTAATTTGTTAACTACACTCAAAATATGATATATATGACCCCAAAAAAAAAACATTTTTGCATTCTGACTGTCCAATGTGTTTTAAAAAAATTAACTTCCTTTCAGTAAATTAAAATCTCAAACCTAAACAAAAATAACAATGCAAATATTTAACTATTTTTACGATGAAACAAACTGTGAAGCTCACAGTGGCTCTGGCAAAGATAGAAGGAATGTTTGGTGCTACCAGCAGCTTATGGCAGATAACAAGTTAAAACAAGTGTATTATTGAGAGATGCATTCAGGTTAAAACAATACAAAATATAACATACAGAGTAGGTGAAAGCCTGGAAGATAAAACTAAACAAGAAATTTTCTACAAAAAAGTCTTCAACACCAGACAAAGATGGACATAAAGATAAACTTAGCTGAAGGAACTTGGAAGTCAACTCAAAGTACACAGGAAAGCATAGAAGCGAGGACACCATTTTGAATTGCGTGCAGAAGTGTCCCAAGAAATCACACAATTTGCGTTCGAGATTAAAACGAAACATAATGGAAATTAAAATATATATAAAGAAAACTAAAAATATAAGGAAACTTAAAGGTTACTACAATGCAGTGAAGACTGCGTAGATAAGGTTAATAAAGATGGGGATTTGAGTTAGATATCATGGAAAGAAAACTGAATGTCAGATGGCTTTACTCAAACTATTTGGAACTCTAGGCAAATAATGAGAGACAAATTTAAAATATTAAATTGGTTCTTTTATATTGTTCATTAAGATGGCATTCCTTAACCCATGAACTGTAAAATCGGCCGCCATTCTGGTTCTGCACTGTGGCGGCCTAAAAAATCGGCTGATACAAAACACGGTCCTATAGCAACTTCCAATCCAATAGTTAACTGGAATTATAGCCACTTCCTTTTATGAATAATTGAATCATCTTTCTGTTCAAGCTATTTCTTGATAACTTAAAAATAAATACTTTTTAATCAGAGTTTTATATCGCTTTTTTTTTAAAGCTAAAATGGTTGAAGCCATGGCTGGGGTCATTCAGTGCAAGAACTAATAGTAATATGTTTTAAAGCTTTTGAGGAGAGGTTTTAAGTGATACTGATGTTGATTTTAACATTCCCCATGATAATATCAGTTGATATTCTTCTTCTCGTGAATTTTATACTAGTCTTAGTGATACTGAAGTAGGCCTACTGAGGCTACTGTTAGACTTCGAGCCAGGCCCGGAGGTTGAGCAAGGACTGACTAAATTTTAGTTACAGAAGCTACAGATTATAGTTCAGAACTAATAAATTTTATAGTTAAACAACCCAAATCAGTTCAACAGTTCCTTTAAAAATTTTTACTAGTAAATGATAAATATTTTACCCGAGATTTGCATTTTGTACTTGGTTTTAGCTTTGGTCCCAGTTTGTTATATAAATGACCTAAAATTACTAAAATTGCTTTCAGAGGTTTAATAGCAATAAAAACCTTAGCAAACTATACATTTTCTGAAAGATAAATGAATTGGCTACAACATTTAGATTTGTGTTTTAAGTGTATCTATAAAAATTAATGATGTTATGAGCACTTGAAAGCAAGACATTTTGTTGATTTTTCTTCTTCTTGAGAACTCCAAGGTAAAGGACACTGAGCAAATTTTTTTTTTACGGGGTGGGCAATATGGCCAACTTTATCCCCATCCATTTACATTTCTAAAAATAAATACTTATGTGGGTCTTGTATCAATATTTCTATGTCATTTAATGCAATTTCAAAAGGCACTCAAAATGCTCTGAAAAGCTCCACACCACAGAATGATGCATGCCACAGTTCATGGGTTAAAGAAAGATTAAAATTAAAATTCAATGAAAACATTTGCGTACTAATATGTTTGAGTCGGCACTAAACACTCTCACTTTTTAGTTGAAACCCAATTACAAACAAATTGTATTGACAACTCATGATTTTTTACCTCAGTGACCAAATCTGATGAAATATTGAGGTAAGTCAGGGCATCGATCACAGGGCAGGTAAGGTCTTTGTTACCCATGAGTTCTTCTCTGTAAAGATTAAGAAAGTGTGATTGGGTGATTGTTTCCATAAAATATGTTCACTTTTGTGGTTAAATGAAAGAAAAATGTCATCAAGTTCGATATTTTAAAAGTTGAAACGAAGTACCTGAGTTTACGGGCAACCTCCCCATGTTCAGAATCCTCCACAATGTCAGGTATGCAAGCCATTATTTCAATCTGGACATCTACTGAGGTACTGCTCAAAATCTCAAGAAGCTTTTTAGTCAGTTCCTGCCCAAGAATTTTCATTGATATGAAAGGTCAGAAGTAACAAAATTTCAAATTTACTAGAATACAGTAATGAAAAACACAGGGAAAAGCATGTTAAGGAAAGCAAGATTTATTTTTGGTCAGTTTGTCAACAATGCATTAATTTAAACAAAATTTGTATCCCTAAGTGGGAAAAAATAGAGGATAACAATAACATTAGGCTAAGTTGGCATAAATAAATCTCATTTCATTTAAAATACTATCAGATGACTGAAATAATTTTTATTTCAAATATTTTTGTTAAATAATAAGAAATTGGCTTGTAAGAAATGTTAATTAATTGATTTGCATCAAAATTATTATAAAAGGCAACACTTGCCAAGCAAGCTCATCAATTGTACTGTCATTAATTTTAACATTTTTCCTACATTTATTTTAGAGCTTAACAATTGCTCTGCCTGAAGTGCAGATACAATTCATTAGTTTATTAAAGACATAGTGGGCGAATAGTAATTTATCAGAAACTTACCTTGCCATCAACTATCCTATCTAAGAAGCGGAACTGGCTGAGCAGAAGTCTTGGAATATAAATTTTCTGCCCATTGTGGAAGATGAAACTGAACAAAAAATAAAGGAATATTAGGACCATATAAAATAGTAAAATATTTCCTAATATATAATAGATATTTACTGGTAGTTGTAACTTCTTCTTCTATATATTAAGTGCCCACGATCAATTTATTATTCATTTGGCTCCTATGCATGTAGAGGGGATTAGCAATGTTTCTGTGCCTAGTGTTGATGCGAATATTTCACTGGTTACAAGGGGTACTTTGTGAGGGAATCAAGCACAGGGGGGTTGGAAGGCCTGAGGAAATGTATGCAAATGCGTCAAGTGTTGTCGCCTCAATTTTTCCTTTTGAAAGCTTGTTCCAGTCCCTGATTGTCTTTGGCAGGAATGAGCAGTTCCTACACTGGCGTCTCGCTGGTATGAGCCGGAACTGCCTGGTATGGCCTCGTCGCTGTTTATGAGGGAGATGGACAAGTTTCTGTTTAATTCTCGAGCAGTGGACCAGTTATAACTTTGTTCTGGTATACTTCAGAATTTTGCTTTAAACCATGTTTGGCTTCAAGTTAGGACATTCAATGATGCTGAGATTAGAGCTCCAGACCAGCTAAAAACCTCTCTGATGTCACACTAATCTGCCTTATNATATATATATATATATATATATATTATATATATATATATATATATATATTATATGTTTCAGATTTAAGACTTACTCATCATCTCCTAAAAATTCAGGTAACTTTTCAAGCAGTAATGTCATAAAGGGTGACTGCAAAAAAAAAGAAGTGGTTAATTTTTAAAATCCTGTATATTTAGAAATATAAACGATAATCTATACACATTTTTTAATTCTTATATTGTTTAATTTTTCTCTCTGCAAATATTTTTCAAAAATTTTTTTAAGTTACATAAAATTACATTTAAAATTAGATTCAGTACTAAACGGTGCAACAAGAAATTTAAAAACAAAAAATTTCAGCTCTGTAGTCTGTGAACTTTATTCCGTTTAAAATAAACTATTTTACATTTTAATTGATAATTTTCAAAAGATTGCACTGTTTTAAAAATAAACAATGTTTTATTGCATGCATAGTTAAGAATTTTAACCTGTATAACATCAACACCAAGAAACAAGCGTACGACGGAGTCAGGTACAGTGGCCTGCAAACTAAAGAATAGAAATATTTTACAACATCCGTTGTTGGTCTATTCCATGCATTTATATAGGAAAAACAACTTTCAAAGTTCTTAAAGATTCTAGATAGGGAATCGATAATCAACCATATGATGTCATGTAATAAGAATTAAATAAAAGGTATTTTAAGGGTCATTTTGTGACTCTAGAATATAGGAAAAACTCTCACTCTCTACTGCATATTATGTCCTAAGTTGTTGCTCATTAGAATTAGTTACTAGTTGAATTTAGACTATCAAAAATTAATAATAAATATTATTTGTTTCCCTGAATTTCTATTTCAAATTTTAAATCCTCCTAAAAAACATTAATCTGGGACCACTATTCCTTAACCCATGGCTTAAAAAACTTTAATTTGGGACTGCTGTCCCCCAAGCAACTCCCACTATTTCCAATTAATCAATTTCTCATTTTTGCTCGAGATCCTGAAGAAGTATTATATATTCCCTGAATCCAAATAGACTTTAATAATAAAATAAAAAAACTTGTTCATGTGCATACCTTTCACAACCAGCAGACACAATGCATGGCATCAAACTTTTGTGAAGTCTGTCAATAAAAACATTGTTAAATTTAAATAGAAAGTTTTAATAACTTTGTCAAATAGATAAATAATGTAGATTGGTTCCTCTTCAGAAGTGTACGGTGAGTTTGTGCTGGGTGATAGATTATAAAATATTTATATAATCATTTCTGCAAATTTTTTATGAGAATAACCATAAATCTAGCTATGTAACGATGAATTTATAAAAACCCATTAAAAACATTAATAACATTTGAATCTTTAGATATTATAAAATGTTTGTTTAATATAATGTTAATTATGATCTTCTGACATCTACAAATAATATCATTACTTTTACTCTGCGATGTTTTTTCTTCTCCATATTTTAAAAAGGCTTTAAACATATTCACCAAATGTTTCATTAAATGAGAATATATTAAAGGACAAACACAAACTAACCTATTTGGCTCTTCAATATATTCCCTAAAATCCTCAAGAAATTGTTCAATGTTCTGAAATGTTAAAACAAGTATTTTTTTAAATTTTGTTCAAACTTGTTTTATTCCTAAATACTTTGACCTTAAGATCTGAGAGGCAAAGTTCAAAGTTAAACATATGAGAAAATTATGCTTCCAAGAAAAATATAATTATTTATTTATTAAAAATATCAATTGTATTAATAAGAGCAAAAAACAACACAATAAGGAAACAAAATTATTATGAAATGTTTACCTCTAATAAATAACCTGGAAGATTTTTTAGAGCAGTTCCCAATTTCTTTTGAAAGACTGATTTAGAGACATCTTAAAATGAAAATTAAACAATTAATAAACATTTTTAATATCAATGTAATATAAATTATCATTAATTAAGAAATGGAAATTCATGCAAACTGTGAATAAATTACTCACGTCAATTTTTTTTACTTTAATCAATTATTTATTATCTTTAAACACCTACCAACACCACAAACCTATGTGTATTAGATTGATGATAAACTTAAGAAAAGGACCCATTAAAAAGGTGTCTCCTAAAGGTGTATCAATAAAGGGTCACAAATAAATCTAATTGAGGAAAACCTATGATTACTTCAAAAACTTCAATATTTTAGTTATTTTAAAAAAATGGATGCCACATTTCTGAGCTGTTAAAAGAGCTTTGAAATTCCTGGATAAAAAGGCCTCCAGTCTTTGTTTAAATGAAATTAATTTTTTTAAAGGTTTTTCATAAATGTGCAAGCTCTTTCATATTATATGGAGGAACAAGTGAAAATAAAAAGAAAGATTAAATAAATTTCACTATAGACAGGGACAAATTCACTTAATGCCAATAATTTAAACTGCAGATACTTACTTATCTCATTGTCAGAGTCACCATTTTTCAAAAGCAGTCCCGCCTTTGACGTCAGCTGACACAACAAATTGTTTTTCCCATATGCATCATCAGTAGTCTTTGACCTTTTTACACTGGAAGATGCTGTTAATATAACATTACATGTATTGCAAGTCTATATTTATAGCTTCTATGATTCAGGTGACTAATAATTGATGAAGTCTCTGGTTATGCGGTTATGCATTTTTAATTGAATATATTTAATGCTATGATCCTTATGATCAACTAGCAACTACAAAACTATTTTTTTTAAATATCACTAATTTTTTTTAAATAAGTAAACATTTGATGGAGCATCTAGAAGAAGAACATTTTTAATAATATTATTGCTTATTAAGTTTAAGTAAAAATGTAGAATAAATCAAATTAACCGATAGTAGCTAAAAGTGTTGTTTAGATTTTGTCTGTCTGATTTTAGAGTTGAATATAGCCAGAAACAGAAGTATCAGTAAAGCAAGTCATCACTTAAAAACTGTATGACTTTTGACTGCTACCCATCACAATTTTTTTATTTTCTGACAGTGCATTTGCAAGGTAAGAGGACCAATGGGAAGGATACTCAGAGGCACAGATGCTATTTAGTTAATCAGGGGGAGGGATGATGAAGGAAAACATGGAAAAATCCTTTGATAATTATACTAATTACCTTAGTCAAATAGTCACAACCGTTTGAACCTCATGACTTAAAACATTTTAAAAATTAGAGAGAGAAAAAAACCTTTGATCCAACTTTCAAATGGAATTACCTGCAGCCATAACGACTCATTTATACTTAGCTAGATGCTGTGGTTATCAACACTTGGTAGTAAAAAATGGTCTTTGTCTATGATCATGAGACTTTCCAAAACATGTTTTTAATGAACATCATCAAAATCCAGATGGTTTGCGTGCATCATATCATATAACATGGCATTGTTAAATAATAATCGGGGAGAGTAACAAAACTTATTCTACCAGCAATTAGTTTTTGGATACCAGTATACTATTATGGAAGATAGTTGTGTTGCATACTTAAGTCAACAGAGTTTGGATAACTACTGAATGAGTCGTCTTTCACGATAATAAATTTTTGTTTCCTAGAAGTTTAGATCAAGAGTTATCATTTACAAGAACGCTTGAAACCGGTACGAGGGGCTGTCAGTATATTTTGTAATGTTAAGCATTTCAAGGATATTAGGAGTAATAATATACTATTGCAACGAATGAATCCCCATCACCACAGCTTAAAACCATGAGAGGAAAAAAGTGGGATATGTCTTGACTAATCATTGTATTATTCATCACAAATATGTTAAAATACTCACTGATTGCCTCGCTAAATGTCATTATTGCGGTGAATTAAATTTTAACCTTCACCATCAAAGATTGAATATTCTTCAAGTACTTCGATTAGAACAAGAAGACTTTCAGCAGTACCTGCTTCACACTTAAATTCTTTGCCATTAATAGACAAGTAAATAATTAACTTAACAGGCTATGGGAATTTAGGATTTTCTTGTGATGGAAAGCACAGAATGACCCGTTTTATGATTAAAGCAGTTGGTGAAGTTTAGGTGGGGTAAGTTAGCTAAAATAATATTGAGCGGCAGCCAAAGTTTAAGAAATAAAACTAAGAGTTTTGGCTACAGAGGGAAATTCATCTTGCAAGGAGAAGGGTGGTTAAGAAGCTCCTCCTTGCATTCTCAACATTGTATGTGCTGGAAATCGGTTTTAATGTGGCTGTTTATCGTACAAATATCGACTTAAGGCATTAAGTTTCTGCCTTAATACTTTACACCAGGTATTGAAAGACTACAATCACTATACCAAGTAGTGATGGGACAATACCAAAATTTTTAACGATTCCGATACTACCCATTTATCCCGATTCCCGATACGATTCCTGATACGATTCCTATTCTTGGCCATTATTACATATATGTATTACTGTGCCCAGACATTTAACATATTTAATTAATATAAAAGTTGAGAATAGATTAGAAAAGTTTATTAACTTGCTATTGAAGCTTTACAATATGCTAGATAACAATGTCTTGGAAAGGTATTATATAAACACATCTATCAATAATTCCATTTTAATAATATAAAAATGTAGCTGGTGTCTTTGATAAAAATCTCGGAACAAAATAAAGATTATTATAACGCGAAACAAACTTTGCGCTGTCACCAGCTTACGGCAGTTAATTAGTTAAGAATCGTTTTGGGATCAGAATCGGGTCTGAATTATTCAGCTCCGATACCGATTCCCGATGCTTTGGAAAAATCCCGATATTTCGATTATTCCGATACGATTCCGATTAACCGTCCCATCTCTAATACCAAGCCAATGCTTCTATCTACAATAATTGACCATTGAAGTTGATGGATATCTAAAAGTTTGAGAACAACTGCAGTAGATTGTTGATTATCCGAAGTAATTGGGACAGAGGGTGGTTCAGATAACCTATTTAATCAATAACCCAACACCAGCACGGAAATGTTGCATTAAAGGAGTCAGTGCACTATAATATAACGTTATACAAATAGGGTGCTTTATTTTTCAATGTACACGAGGTCCTTATTTTATGGCGGATTTGATGTTATGGCGATCAATCCTGGCGCAAAAATATAATTCAATTCATTAAATATACTATTTTTTTCAGCACGCCATGAGTAGGTACTATTTCATCATGGAAGTTAGCAAGCTAGCGAGCGGATAGAACACAACGTCCAGCATCCAAGAGACTTTAATCATGTGAATGTCAGTAAGTGCCCAGACTTCATTGGGATACACAGCCCAATGTTGTATGTATTATTACAATTTAAAATGGACTAGAAACAGTAACTTCAAAGCATGTTTCAACTGATATGCTTTAATATCTTAAATTTGATGTATGTACATGCATATATATGTATTTAGATCCAAACACATACATACAGGGTAGTTTACATGTTGGTAGGGTGCTTAGCCAATTCCGGCGGATTCCAAGCTATGCCACAGATGAAAAATAAAACCTCAATGTAAAATGAGGACCTGCAGTACAATTTACTTTAAAAATCAATAGAGTAATATGTCAGGTTATTGATGTCAAAAACATTTGAGGACTGGAATTTCTTTTCTGCAAAAAGAAGTCATTTCCAAAAAAAAAATAGATGCATTTGAAATAAAATCCGAGATCACTTTGCCTTAGCAGGGGTTTTTAAAAATAAATTGACAAGATTGTAGATCACATTATCCCAGTCTGGTCACTGCATGAACAGTACATAATATCTAAATTTAATTAACAAGATTGAAGATCCCATTCTAGTCACTGCATCGCCAGAAAATTTAATCATGCCATGCTCATTGTGTGCAATAAGAAGTTTTTATGTTGCATGTCCTGCTCATAGAGCACAATAAGAAGAAAAAATGTAAGGAGTTGTCCTCATGACAAGGATTATTGATAATCAGGTTTCCAAAAAAAAAAAGACTCTCTGCTGTTAAATACCTGGTACTGTCTAAAAAGGTTAAAAACCACCCAATTAATTAACTAAGAAAGTGGTTGAAAGTACTATGTCTAGAAAATGTGATATGAAAGAAACTGTTGTCTGATAAAGAATGTAATCTACTTCTCAAAATTGTAGTAGAAATATTTGCAACCATAAGCTGCTGTAACAAATAATGTCTTGACACTG